CTGGTTTTTATTGAAAAATAAAATCTGGCAGCACTAGTTAACACTCCCACTTCAATTACTGGGCTACTGAAGTGGCTGACCCATGGGTGACATCGGAACCCTCCATCTTCCACAGAATCTACCATATTCTTTTCCATACCTGGACACTGTCACCTATTCTCACACCTGCCTTGTCCAATTCCTGGAACTGTGAAGTGTTCTTTAAGCAGAACTCTAACTTACAACTTCCAGGAGCTTAGGAAGTGAGACTCGCATCTGTCAGAGTGCCTCACTGATTTTCCCCTGCCAGACCTAGACCTCTGCATCTGAGGGCACCGTTTTCAGAACCAAAGAGGTCATGTTGGCATGTGCATGGTAGTTCTGATGTGCTGGGGGGTGGCCTCCCAGGGGGTCTCCACCCTAATCCTTAGACCAATGAGTCTCAACTTTCTTATGTTGAGACCCTTTAATACAGTTTCTCATGTTGTAGTGACCCCCAACCATAAAGTATTTTCATTGCTACATCATAACTGTAATTTTGCCACTGTTATGAATCATAATGTAAATATCTGTGTTTTCTGATGGTCTTAGGTGACCCCTGTGAAAGGATCGGTTGACCCCAAGGGGTCACGACTCACAGGTTGAGAACCACTGCCTTACAGAGTATGAACTTCTGCCTTTTCATCCCTAGGGTATATTTACCTTTACACTGTTTCCAGAGTGGCAAGAGTAAGCCCCTCCCACACCACAGTAGCTGACTGAACAGCCTACTTGCCCTTTCCTCTCTTTCATCTTTCAAATAGACCCAGTGCCCTCAGCTCCTTGCCTCCAGGTTGGCATCTGGGAGACACAAAGCAAGATGGCATCTCACAGTGTGGAAGCCTGGAGTGCCATGGTCTGCATCAGTCATTCTGTAGCTGTGATAAAAAGCTATGGCAGCACGCAATAGAAGGAAGTAAGGGTTCATTTTGATGTATGGTTCTAGAGGGAGTGATTCCATCGTGGCGGGGGAAGGTTTAGCAACAGGAAGCAGGAGCAGGAATCTGGCTGATCACATTTCATCCACACACAAGAAGCAGAGGAAATAAATAGGAAATGGGATAAGGATATAAACCTTCACATCTCACCTTCAGTGACACACTTTCTTCACCAAGGCTGTACTTCCTAAAGGTCCCATGACCTCCCCAAAGACCACCACCCACTGAGGACCAAGTGTTCAAGTCTCTGGGCCTTATGGCAGACTTTTCTCATTCAAACTACCACATGGTTAGAAGATGGAATGTCCTCCCTAGATTTGTGTGTTGAAAGACTAGTACCTAGCTGGTGACTATTTAATTTGGAGGTGGGGCTTAGCTTGAGGAAGGAAGTTATGAGGGAGTGTGCCTTTGTAGGTGACACCTGTCCCCTCTCACTTCCCAACTCTCTGCTTCTCATCTGTCATGAGGGTGGACAACTTCCTATGCCACATGCTCCTGCTGCCATAATGTTCAGCCCAAGTACATGGAAACAAGCAACCATGGACCGCGAGCCAAAATAGAGAATTCCTCCCTTCACACTGCCATCTTAGGAAGTTGGTCACAATGACTGGCAACTAATACAGGAAGCCCGTCATTGCCATTTTGACTTTTCTCTTGGTAGAGCGACTTTTGTAATTTCATGGCCAATGGCTGCTACCCTCAGTGCCCAAACTTAGACTGGGAGCTCTCTTGCACCTAGATGAAAGTTTGTTCTTTCAAGCCCTGTCTGTTTCCATCGTGTTCTGGAATGCCTCTTCCCATCATGCCTCTGAGTCCTCCACTCCACAGGCCAGCCCTCTTCCCATCATGCCTCTGAGTCCTCCACTCCACAGGCCAGCCCTCTTCCCATCATGCCTCTGAGTCCTCCACTCCACAGGCCAGCCCTCTTCCCATCATGCCTCTGAGTCCTCCACTCCACAGGCCAGCCCTCTTCCCATCATGCCCAGGCCTCTCCTGTTGGGTTCCCTTGCTGTCTTCTGCCTCTCTCTCCTGCTCCAGGCCAGCTTCCCCGATTCACCAGCCAAAACACTGGGACCACTCCTTGTCAACCCTGCTCACAGCACATTTTTCTGAACCAACCATAAGCCCTTATCCAAGGATTCTGCCAATGTGAGATTAACTGTCACAGCAATGATTGGCTCTACCTTGGCACACCTGGACCTCACAGCAACTTCTCAGCATATCCGTATGGTAGTTAGTATCTTGTATCTTAACTATTAATTATCTTAAGTATTTGATGACATGCCCCAGTAGGCTGGGAGCACCCTGGGAGCAGGGGGTATGCCTTATTCCTATCTGTCACCCCTAGTGACTGGTACAGTCTTCGGCATTTAATAGGTACTTAGTAACTGCTATCCAAACAAGTCCCATGCAGCCAGGTAAGAAGCCTAAATAGATTACACGAGCTGAGATTTGGGGCAATATTCATTGATACACGGTGGAAGGGATGACTCTTGTAATAATAGCCTCAGTCATGAACGAGGACTCATTCAAGTGTGTAAACAGGCACCATGAGCTATGAGTCTGGGAGAGGGGGTACCCAGGAAGGATTGGGCTCAGGCTGGCCTTGTGGGAACAGCTGAGGAGTCTTAATGCCATCCTGAAGATTGTGAGGCAGAAGGAGGGACAAAAATCTAGCTTATTCTTGAAACGGTACTGTTATAGCTGAGATCAGAAGGCTTATTTAAAAATTTTAAGAAGATTTTATTTTGTACATGTGGGCATTTGGTCTTGTACCACATGCATGCCTGGTGCCCACAGAGACCAGAAAAGGGCAACAGATTGTCTGGGACTGGAATTACAGATGGTTGTGAGCCACTAGGGGTTCTAGGAATTGAATCTGGGTCCTCTGGAAGAGCAGCCAGTGCTCTTAACTGCTGAGCCATCTCTCCAGCCCCAGAAGGCTCACTTTTAATTAAATTTCTGAATTATATATCTACTGTGGTGGTAATTGTTCTATACTTATGTTCAACTGAAATGAAGTATCTGTAAAATTGTTTTTGTTTCAGCCCCTATTTTTAAAAATATATTTTATTTTATGGGTATATGTGCACATCTGAGCGTATGTGTATGTATATATGATCCAGGGGAGGCCAGATGAGGGATCCCCTGGAACTGGAGTTCCAGTGGTTGTGAGCCATCGTGAGGGTGTTTTGTAAGAGCTGTAAGTGTCTTGAGAGCTGAGCCATCTCTCCAGCCCTGTTTATTTCAGCCAGTGTTTACTCGTCATTACTGTATTGTTTTACTGGACAGGAAGTAGGGGCATAGGGGGCGTAGCTATGGGAGGCTCGTGTGCCCATTTCTGAACTCCTCTTTTTTTCCACAGTGAGTGACAGAAACTGGTGGGGAAATTCTCCAGCAGCCTCCTCCACCTTGAGAGGAATGGAGCTAAGGTGTGTTACCTCAGGTTCTCGGAGCTCTGCGAAGACCAAGCCCGTGTGGTCCCTGCTCATCCAAACATTCCTCTTTCTTCCTTTCTCTGTCTTAGCTCCTTGCTCCCACACAACGCCTCATGAGGTTACTCTCTAGGCAAAGGGACGTTCTGGACGATTTACTTTTTTTTCTCTGATAATAATCTTTTAAATTTTATTTCCTCTTGAATTAGGTTTTTCTTGGTTTTGTGTTTTAGAATCTTTTTGGTAAGATTCATACAGAACCTAGTAAAGTCCATGTGTTGTCCATGTGGTAGAGTGGGTGAGCTCCCTCGGCCGCCCGTCACTACATACCTCTAGTGCAGGTAGAGCTGAGCCAGACCATTTCTATCCCAACTGAACCTTGAAGAATGATTGTCATGGGGGGCATCTTTGTTTCTGTCACTGTGGCCATCTGCTTTTCTGGTTGGTTCACAGAGCTACAGGGTGTCTACCCTTCCCCTACTCTCACAATAATGCTTACAACATCATGAGGAGCCATGATATCTTGTCAGCTTTCTGCCAAAATGAAAGCTAAGATTCTCTAGGCCAAAGGTTTTCTAGGTCACCGGGACTCAATGGCAAAGGAGTCAACCTGATTCAGCCTCATTGTCACCACGACCAGCGATGGTAGCTATTGACTCATCCCTGTGGCCTTTTCAAGTACACTGTCCTCGAGTGACCCCAGCTTTTGTCTAGAACTGATGGGTGACTAACTAATGCATCAACACTGTCTTTCACAACCTCAATGGGCAGTGCAAATGCCTGAACAGAAGGCCTCCTACGTGCTCAAATGTGTACCTCAGGGTGCCATGAGCTGAGGACCAGGGGGACGGTTCCTCATGAAGTGATTCAGGTTCCATGTGAACACCAGCTCCCTGAGCCCAATGCCACCAACAGAGAAAAGCTGCAAACATCCGAAAATCTGCTGCCAGAGCAACTGGGTAGAATGGGGTCTCTCCTGCCCAGGCCTGCTCCTCCTTTCTCAGGGGGTAAGTGCACTGGGGGGCATAAGGGAGGGAGAAAGCAACAGACCCCCTTCTTTTGGAATCACATTCTATAAACTTCAATTCATTTGAGTAAGTGAATTGGCTCTACCAAAAGTGCACTCAACTAATGGAAATCATCGAATTTCCTCAATTCCCTCCAATGTGGCAAGAATAAATATGTCAAAGTATCAGCTGACACAGATGCCCATGTAACAGAGAGCATGGAATGTATTGTTAGTGATCATAATCATGACAAGCAGGAATCCATCCATATGTATTTTCACAACTACTGACACAAAACTGAAATTTTATAGAACATATATGTGCGGGGAAATAACAGCTGTAGCTGCTCAGAGAGAGCCAGTCCACAAGAGAGAAGGGACGGAGTACAACATAAGATAGATGCTCTCCAGGGTACGTATTCACGGCTGATACCTGGGCCGTACCAGCAGCCTGCTTAGTCCAGGATGAAAGCCGATTTCTAGTAATTCCAAGTTCCTTATAAAGGAGTGGCCTTTGTAGAATCACTGCATGACCCATGCTACAGAGCAAGTCAGCAGGTGTATTAGATGGCAAATGGCTCCCCCTCAGGGGACTCTCCTTACCTTCTGCCACATGTTGATGAAGAAGAGTTCCCGAGAAATATTGAAGGATACGTTGGCATCATAGGCATCGTCCCCAAGGTTGGAGATGGAGATGTTCAGAGAGATATTCTTCACAGCCCCCAAAGCTAGGTATGGGGTTTTCTCATCAACACTGCAAAGAAAAACCAACAGCAATTAGTATTCTTACACTGACAGTGATGTAACAGGGGCGCCAGCAGGTAGTGTGGAGGTGTTGGGAAATGGACGACAACTCTCAGGAGCCCCATCCACTAGGCACATGGCCTTGGAGACCAGCACCCATGGGCCTCTGGTGTTTTGTTTTTGTTTTTTGTTTTCCTTAGAACAAGGGCTTCTATGCTTTTGAACTCACTGGACTGGCACATGGCTCACAAGAAACTCTGTACATCACACTTGGAAAGCTTAAAAACATTTAGAAAGCTTTATGTGAAATTCATTCACTCAGTGCTTTTGAGCAGATCCTGTGTTTTTGTCCTCTTAGGTGTGATGTTTAGTGTTGACTGTCAATGTGACGCAATCTAGAACTGCCTGGGAGATGGCCTCTGGGCATGCCTGTGTGGAGTGCTAACTGAGGTGGGAAGACACTTCCTCATGTGGGCGGAGCTCTCCCCTGGGCATGGATTGCAGACTATGAAACAGAGAGCTGAGTACTAGTGCTCATCTCTGCTTCTTAGTGCAGACACAATGAACCATCGCTCTTAAACGCCCGCTATTGTGACTTCCTGCCATGACCCACTGTAACCTGAAAGTGTAAGTTAAACGCCCTCTGCTGTGACTTCCTGCTATGACTGACTGTAACCTGGAAGTGTAAGCCAAATATACCCCTTAAGCTTCTTTGGTTAGAGAATTTTATCCTAACAAGAGGAAAAGAAAGTTAGACCCTAAAAACAGTAGTATATAACTTCAAGGAGATAGAAAATGCATATGCAAAGCAAATATTCATAACCAGCTGGAGAAACCTTGGAGGGAAGGAAGTAACTGATCTGGAGGAGTAGATGCCATTTTTAATACAATAGTCATGGAAGCCTCCATTAGGAGGTGACCTCACTACAGAACAGGATTTGCAGAATGGAGGGCTTCCCAAGGAGGGTCTCTGAGGTGGGTACAGAGCGGGCATGTTCAAGGAAGAGAAGGAGGCCACAGAGGATTGCCAGATTCTATAGGTCCTAGTGTGTCACCATCAAGACCTTGGTGTAAATATGATACAGACGGGAACCCCTACCAGCTCTGAGCTGAGAAGTAATGACTCTTGGGGTCCATATCAGGAGGAGGCTCCTACTGGATATGATGGAAATAGTCTATGGAGCATGCTTGAGAGAAGTTGGGTGAGGTGTCTCCTGCAATAAGTCAGTTGGAAGAAGGGGAAAGGTCAAGCCAGGCAGGTGCAGCTGAAGTATGGAGAAGAGCCATGTTGGAGATGTTTCTAAGGTTGTGCCAACCTTGGATTTTCCTGAATTAGATGAGGGATGTTAGCAGATGAAGAGCCGATGGTGGCTCAAGGGCTTGGGGATTCAATAACTGCATTTAGGGCTGCCATTTAGTGAGATAGGAGAGACTGTATGTAGAGAAAGCTTAGCAGAGACAAAGCAGATGCCTGTTGCAGTTTATAGGAAACACAGAGACAGCTTGATACATGAGCTGGGAGTTGGAGGAGGCATTTGGGTTGGAGATCTACACATGGGATAAAGACGAAGGACACCAGAAAGTGAGTGCAGAAGAAAATGCACTTTCTCAGTTAGAACCTGAAGAGGAGACAGGTGCAGCTGGGTCTGGAGGAATGTCAGGCTTTCCAGCATGGAAGTAGGTCCAAACAGCAGGGGATTAGAACTGATGACTGAAATGAGTTACATAGCAGGGCTTCTTAGGCTTTCTCTACTTGTGAGCCTTTATGACTCGCTTAGTTTCGTTCACATTGCTGTGATAAAATACCCCAATAAAGCAACCTACAGGACAAAGGGTTTATTTCAGGTCACAATTTTAGTTTTCAATGTGGAAGAAATATAAAACACCTAACGACACCACCTCCTCAGTCAACAGCAGACAGAGAATAAATGCATGCGTGATTATTACTCAGCTCGGGTTCTCTCTTACCCAGTCCAGGACCTAAACCCTGATAATGGTGCCACGCACAGTGGGTTGGGTCTTCCCAATCAATGTAATCAAGACAATCCCCCACAGACATGCCTGCAGGCCAACCTGATCTACACAAATCCTCACTTTCCTCCCAGATGATTCTACAGTATGTCACGTTGACAATGAAAACCAATCAATACAGTGGCTTAGAAGTTTTTACATGACCCTGGGTAAATAAATGTATGAAACAAGTATACAGTTCAAACATTTACTGGTAACAAATCTATTTTAAGATAATTCTTTGGTATACATATAAATTGAATATTTATTAAGGACTAAAGCAAGTTTGTATACAAATGACATGGGTATGATTTTCTGTGTAGCACAACAATCCATGTACACACTAATTTGTGCTGCTTATATAATCATGGGTATGTGACTAAAAAGTGGACTTAGTGAGTCATAAAAAAGAGAACATGAAATTGGGAGGGGTTGGGGAGGTAGGGGTGTGTCTGGGAAGATTTAGAAAGAGGAGGGGGTAACTATGATCAAAATACATTGTAAACACGTATGAAAGACTCAAAGGATAAAGATATTATTTAAAACAGATTTAAAATATACTCATTTGAGACATAGTAAAGGGTAACGGTAGGAAATTATTAAAAGCTTTTGTTTTCTATAATTAAATCATTATGTTTCTATAAAAGCAGAAATCATGGTATGTACAGTAAAAAAGCTATGATCTGTAAGAGAGTGGCCTCTACTGAACGGACGTTCAGGCAGCATTCTTTGGCACCATGGCGTGATGGCACATTCAGTACAGAGTCCAGAATGGTGGCACTACAGAGAAGTTAGGTGGTGTAATGTGGGTGAGCATTGTCAGAGACATCTCAAATCCACATTAAATCGTAGTTATTGTGAGTTCAGAAACCTACCACTACCAGGATTTTGCAATCCCATGTTCAGCTAAAAAAAAAACCCGAATTGGGTTGTGACCCACACTTAAAGAAGGTTGATGTACACAGAGGTCACTGGTGACCTTGTTATGAATTCTACGAGTGAGTCAGGGCAGAAAGCCTGACTGGAGTGAGAGGGGAGTCCATGAGAACAGTGAGTACAGGTGGGTATCGGGAGGTGTTCCTTTCAGTTAAGTGGAATGGAGAAACAGGATAGAAGCTACCAGGGAAGTGGGCTGTGGAGATGATTTTTAAAGGATGGCAATTATAGGGCATTTGCACGTGAATGGGAAAGATCCCTCAGAGAAGGCACAATGAGTGAGCATGGGACAAGGGACAGTTGCTGGTGGGGCCTGGCGAACACATGGAAAGGCTGGGGCTGAATGAACTGCGTGGTACAGCTGCTGAGTGCGGGTGGAGAATTCAGGCTCCTTTGTACTTGGCATTGAAAGTGACTCAGAGTCAAAGACAGGGAGAAGAGAGAAGGGGAGGATGTTGGGTCGTGGCAATGGCAGGGAGAGTGGGGGAGTGAATGGGCCAAGGATGATAACCATGGGGATGAAGACGATAACAAAGATGAGTACCAAGTCATATAAGCTCTGGGCAAAATGAAGTCACTCCAGTGGGATATGTAGAAGCCTCTGAGAGTCTGTGCAGTGGACAGTTGTTTCTCTTGGCTGTTTGGCTCAGAGACTCTACAATAGATGTGAAAGGTACATCAACAGATAGGGAACAGGTAAAGCTGTGGGCACCTGAGTAAGAAGTCTTGTGATCTAAGGATGTTTGTTCAAGTGGCCTTACTTTGGTGATAATGCTCCCAACCACAGCTCTGAATTTTCAGGGTTTCACAAGGACATTATGGTCCTGTGATTATCTGAGGTGGCTGCAGAAGGTTTGAAGACCCAGAAGACACTTGCTTTGTTTCCTGTTGAAGTTGGTTGCCCCCTCCAAGCTCCTTGGAAGCCTCATCTAAACCAGCTTGTATCTTTCCAATAAACTAGACTTAAATTGACTGGTATATGTTATGTGGTCTGCAGCAATTAACATAGCTAATACAACATGCAAGAGAAGAGAACTATTCAAACACTCAACAGGCTACTATTCTTTGAAATATAGACTTTGGAGGAAGGAACCACCATTATCCATCTCCGGAAAGAAGCCCCCTCTCTAGTGCGTCTGGCATGCCAACAAGAAAAACATGCTCAACAAGACATCTGATGGCCTTGCTTTGGAAGCAAGAGCTCCAGGGATCCAAACAAGATGTGAAAAATTAACTTAGAGAAGAGTTTTAAATTCTTGAATGGTCTCCAATGAATTAAGACCTTGACCCCAAGCTATTGTGGCAATGATTTATTATTGTTGGCCACTCTGGTTTTAAACAATTGATGGGTTATTTCTGTCCCCATTTGCTTTTGTAACATGAAAGGAAGAATCCTCAGACCTTGAATTATGAGACAGCGTTCACCTAGCTTTATCAAGAGAAGGACCTGCACACACTCTCAGACGGCCAGTCACCTCAGAGTGACCAGTTTCTGTGGGATATTAAACAGAGAGACCACAGAGGTAGGCACAGCACCACAGGCGAGAGAGCTGCCGCCTCAGTGTCGTAGTTCACAAGACTAGTCTCTTTCTCCCATGTATAAATGCCAAGGAATCAGGCCAGGGACATCTGAACTTATGCCAGGCCCCCACAACACGGGCCCTTGCCACTTAATCACACAGTAAGGTGACTCCTGGGTTTTCATGGTCAAGTGATTCCAGCTTGGTCTGCAATTAAGGAAAGCCAGGCACCTTCCAGGGTAGAAGTGAACTGAAAACTTTTTAAAAGAGACCTCAAAGTTGTTTTCATTCTTTCTCTAAAGCTAAAACTCTATAACCAAAGCCGTAGGCTGCTGCTCGCTAAGTTATTCTTAGAAATGAAAGGAAAATAGAGTTTGCAGCATGGGGCCGGGTGCTGTCAAACAAGCCTTTCTGAAACTTCACAGGAACTGGAGAGTAACGCTTCCAGAGAGGAGGAAATCACGAGGCAGAGAGCTAAGGGGGCTGGATGGGAACTGAGGGCCTCCCATGTCTACAAAGCCTTCTCCTCTCCACTGTCACCCAT